TAGCACAATTGGCCACAATTGCACCTTAGCAAAGCTATCAGCGATATGTGTCTGCGTTTTGACAATGTCTGTTACTGTCACGGACTGAGTACCATGAAATATGCACCGGTAGCAATAGAATGCCGCAGTATGAGAATGCAAAATCCGATGCGCGTCACAACATGTATTACATATATTATGATGTCATGCATGGAATGCTAGTAGCTTATCTCCGTAAAGCACTTCTTTACTAATGCGGCAAAGCCTGGCGTCTCAAGTTAACGATTGTACAGTACAAGCCCGAGAGGTAATATAGGAGCACACAATTGCAGTGGGTAGTCCATACCATTGATCTCATGAGACGACACACTTGTGCATATCACGAGTGATAGAACGACCTTACTCACAATCCAAACGGTGGCTTCTGAAGAAACAGTACAATGTCGAAGAGGACGAGTACTCTCAAACCAACTTCCACCCCACCATAGATCTAAATGTCGTACACCTTTCATTCCGGGCACGACATCTTCTTACCGGACATTGCACGTTTTTTGACCCACGTGGACACAGGAGTCTCCTATTTCCAAGTGAATTTGATACCGAATATCGACAGAGGCTGTGTATTGACTCCGTGGAATAGCCATGAGGTCAATATTCTTTAGCAAGGCGTCTTGAACGATTGATTCAGAAACTCCATGGTTTCTGGACAATCTCGTTGGCCCCATAATTGATTGCGAGTTTAACCCCCCCATTTATTTAGGGAGATTTTCTCTTTTTAGCACAATTGTGTTCCAAACGTTTCGACCATAGTTTTCGCGGATTGTTGGCCGGGGGAGAAATTGAGGAGGGATACCAGTAGCAACAAGACTTGCAGGGTGAATATGTAAGGACGCCCGCTTGTACATGGCTAGGTAGCTTTGGAATCAATGCGCTTGCCCCTTCGTGGGACAAAATGAGCAGGTGGTGATTAACCAAGGGTGACACTTGTGCCAGCCATGATAGAACACCAACGAGAATAACAGAATAGGCACTGTGAAACGGAAGGTTGCTGGGAAATACATGGAATAGCCATACAAACGAAACCCCATTGCGCGGTCGACAA